CAGAAAGAAGATAAATCTAAACATTCCAGAATATACAAGAGAAACAAAGATAAAAGATTCTAGAACAAGTTGAGAGCAAATGGAACCGGTAGTTCAATTTAGAAATTATATTATGCACATCATTAATATACTTAATCTCTCACCACCAAGAGATATTCTTGGAGATCTATTGACATTATTTTAAATGAAGAACAAGTAGACTCTGACAGCTAGAAGTTAGTATAGTGTACTCTCTGCTTATTAGCTGACTCCGAGTCTGAAAATATTTCAGGTGCTTGAGGGAGAATGCAGCTCAGGTAGAGAGGGGAACACCAAGTAAAAGGTGTTGGGAGGATCCTCCCAGGATAAGAGATGCATGCTGAAAGTAGACTATAGACTGAACATGAAGGTCACTCAATGCCTCTTTTGCAAACCACAGCACCCAAAAGAAGAGAGAGAACAAAAGGAAATGCCCTGCCACAGGGCTGGGGTGGGATGGGGGTGGGGGGGTAGGAGGGATGCTGGGAGCACTGGAGGTGGGGAATGGGCAGTGGTGGAGGGATGGGTACTCGATTATTGTATAACTGAAACCCAAGAATAAAAATTTATAAGTCTACAACTGTACTTTATGGTGTTTCACTAATAAAAATTAAAAAAAAAATTTCAAGTGCTGCCTTGAGAGTCAATGCTGAATGCCTCAATCCTAGCTGTAGTCGAAAAACAGCGAGATAACCAGGGCACTCCATTTCCTTGTGTGTAGAATAGGTAAACTGGAATCACAATTTGTGACTTTTTTTCTGTTTCTAAAATTATTTCTCTCACTCAAAACTTCTATAATCAAAGTTGGAGAAATAATTTTTTTAAAAAATTTAGCACTCAGAAAGAACAAAGAAAAAAACCAAGAGAGCAAGGTTATCATTAATTACATAGAAAGCATAATGCAGAATTTTTTAGAGTCAAGCAAGATTTTCTGGCATTTATCTTCTTCAAGGAGTGTGGAGTGATGTCACCTGCATGGAAAGCAGTTTGGTAGTTGTGAAATTGGGGCCATAGCAATGCCCGTTTACTTCTGTTAGGTTTTCTAGAATGAAGAATTTATCCCAAGGAAGAATTGAAATAAAAATTGATAGGTTAGACCGTGGGAGGTGATTCAAAATGCATGGCATTCAGGAGGCCTATCATGGTTCCAGATAACAAAAAATCACTCCCCAATCACTACCAGTAGCAACTTCCAAGCACCAAGCAGGGAATAAGTAGTCCCGGGCATACCTGGATGTGGCCCTATAATAATGAACATTACATATTATTATCTACAGTGAAAGTTGCAGTACTGTGTAAACTCTCTCACTGTAAGAGAGGATGGGTCATGTAGATATTCACTCACAGAGTATTCTAGGTTGAAGGAGCAGAACTGTCAGATGGTCCAAAGTAAAAACACATTTGATATATCACAGACAACCACAAAGTCAGCAAAGAAGGATTAAAGAACCATAGTGGGAGACAAGGTTAAAGTGGGGGGAGTGGGAAGTGTAAACCATTAGAGATCTGGTGGGTCATAATAAAAACTTTAAACTTAAATAAGCAAGAAATTAAGGCATCAATATTTATTGAAGCGTCACTGTGCAACCTATTATGGGTGATTAAGAAATTGTATGTTTCCTGCTAAACATTTAGCAAATATTTTTAATTCCTTAGCTAGAAAGCACTCCCCCCTTCCAATATTCTATTCAAGACACAAGAGAAATTTGGAAAAGAAAATTTGCATTAACCTGGAGGCCTAATATCATTACTTTAAATCAACCACCTTATTTAATGTTTGCCTTAATGAGGAAAACACAAAAAGGAAGGAAAGGAGAAGGCATCGATGATATTCATTTCTGGATATGCCATAGACCTGGGGTTTTCTTGGGTGGAAATGGGGCAGGAGGGGGGGAGTTGAGCCGTACCTGGTGGTACTTAGGGCTTATTCCTGGCTCCATGCTCAGGGATCACTTCCAGAGTGCTTGGGGTGCAGGAATCACTCCTGGAAATGCTTGGGGATGGAAATATTTGGTGGTGGGTATGAATCAGGGCTGGCCATGTGTAAGGCAAGTGTACTTCCCTACCTATTGCACTTTGCTCTCCGACCCAGAGCTGCTGGGTGAATCTTTCATCATTCATGCTGTACATACTATACATACTGTACTATCTCTCTGGCCATGACACCTTTTCTTCTGGAAGGCTGACATGTCCTCTAATTAATCATGATAGATTTTTTTCTTAAACTCCATTCTACCTTTGACCATCAACATTTCAAATCAAAGAATAGTGTAATCATAATAACAGAGGCTGAGCCAGTCCTGACTAAAGTGGCCACTTTGGGAGATCTCATTCTAAGTATTGTTTTAGAGATGGAAAATCTGAACTAGTGACCCAGAAGGTTATGGTTTGGGTGCTTGTTGAGGATTTGGGCCTCTCTGTCTATCTCTGTCTCTGTCTCTGTCTCTCTCTGTCTCTCTGTCTCTGTCTCTGTCTCTCTCTCTCTCTCTCTCTCTCTCTCTCTCTCATAACATCCAGCAGTGCTTAAGGCTTACTCCTGGCTCTGCTCTCACAGATCATTTTTTCTCTTTTTTTTTCTTTTCGGGTCACACCTGGCGATGCACAGGTGTTATTCCTGGCTCTGCACTCAGGAATTACTCCTGGCAGTGCTCAGGGGACCATATGGGCTGCTGGCAATCGAACCGGGGTCGGCCACATGCAAGGCTATCACTCCAGCCTCTCAGGGATAACTCTTAACAGCACCAGGTAACCATATAGAGTGCTGGAATCAAGGCTGAGTTAGCCTCATGCAACACAAATGTCCTGCCAATTGTACTTTGCTCTCCGATATAGGATCTCTGACCTGGAGCTGCTGGGTGAATCTCTTCTCATTCATGCTATACATACCCTATACTATTCAATGTACACATAAATGCTATATATTCATGCTAGACATGAGTGTCTGGTGATAAAGGTAGACAGGTTGGAGTTATCTAAAGTAAAAAGATTTAATTTGTCTACTTGAAGTCTGGGTACAGAGTGACCAGGGGTCATTCAAAAAGTGTAAGAATATGGCTTGAACTCTAAGTTCCATTTTGGAATATGAATGTGTAAGGCAACATACACATTCATATTCTGAACCTGATCAAATCTATGAATTTTGTAATCTAATAAGAACATGATGGTGATGAAACCTCGGAAAAAGTGAAACTTTTGATAAGGATTAGGGCTTGGGAGGGAAATATGGTGAGAATTGGCAGCCATTTTTTCCCATACTATCTCTTTTCTGATATGACTTTTCTGATGCTAAAGTCACCTGTTTGTGTCATGACCACTGGCAAGCCAGACATTTTCTCATTCATGGGCTCACTTAATTGCAGTTTTCTGTTGCACTTGTCAGGGCATTTGTATGCACTTTACATAGAAATGTACTGTGAGATTTATTGTCAGCCAATAATCCTAAGAAGTCCAAGGTCTGGTGGCAGGTTCAATATCCAGAGCTATTGGGAAATACTCAGTCTTTCTCAAAGACAACACTTTTGCACAAATTGCCTTAAAGTAATGGCAAATATTGGAATTTAAATATAGCCACCATAAAGTAAAGGACATTGGGAAAATGCATGGCCTTTTTTGAAATCACAGACTTGCTGGCAGCTTAGACTCATCCTATTCCACATGGGTAATAGCTAATTGTAGCCCACAGAGACTCAGCAGCAATTAATTAATCTAAGTAAGTGTGTCCATTAAAATCTACTTTTTGATTCTAATGGCACTTGTGAAGATATTTAGAAACGAATATATTCTCCAGGGTAGAATACTTTGTACATTGGGAAAAATTCCAAGAACCACTTAGTTGAGCTTTTTACGAATTCCTTGATAATTTGTAAATCCTTAAACCTTACCTATAAAAAATTTTTCTTGTTCTAAACTCTGATGTTTTTTCCTTATTCATTTCATACAACCCCCAATTTTAGATAATGTTCCTTTTTGTTCCTTAGAACTGAGTAATTTTGTCTATGCTAGCCATACTGCAGTTTACCTTAGATGGCCTAGCAGATTTGAACTCTCCTCATTCTGGGAGAAGGTCTTTAACATTTATATGTCTGTCCTCCCTCACACAATATAATTCTTATGATAGTTATATGACCTTTTATTTCTTCAATTATCTCTCTCCACCTTTTTTCCTTCCTTCTCTCATGATTTATTTATTCATGGAGGTTTGAATGAACTTAATGTGTACTAAATACAGAAACAATATTGGGACCTAGATGTATACAAATAAGCATGGAATTCTATTTTTTAACTTTATTTATTTATTTATTTGCCTTTTTGGGTCACACCTGGCGATGCTCAGGGATTACTCCTAGCTCTGCACTCAGGAATTACCCCTGGCGGTGCTCGGGGGACCATATGGGATGCTGGGAACCAAATCAGGGTCGGTCGCGTGCAAGGCAAACGCCTTACTCGCTGTGCTATTGCTCCAGCCCTAGCATGGAATTCTTAAAAACAAATTCAATTCTTCCCAAGAAGTCTGGAAAATAAGTGTCATGAATTTTCATTATATTCTAATTTTAGAGTAACACACACTATCGGTACTTTTAAATTTTTCATATTTGTGTTTTTATAAATTAAATACTGTTTTATATAAAATAATATTTCTTAGATTTTAACAATAAAGTCAAATGGTCATTCCTGAATCTTTGGCAAACTAGCATCAGAGTTACAACTAAATTGGCAAATTTTCCCCAAACACATTAATGCTGTGCGAATATAGTTCCCTTAACACTACCGCTGGACATTTTCTATGAAAAGGGTATCATTTATGTTATCAGATAAGTCTCAACATTTTCAAAGTACAGGCTGCAATTTCATGGTATAGAGGAAATCGAGAGGCAAAAGATAACAAAATAATTTTTATTTGAATTCTCATTGAAAAAATACAGAAAGACAGTCAAAAAATGAGCAGTGGTCAACAGTCAATATTAAGGCAGTCAAAGTAAAAGCAAGTGTACATAAAACAGTGAAAAATGAATACAGTTTAGTTGTCAATATTGAAAGAGTTCAAGTAAAAAAAAATCCAAGTAATTGATCCAACCTAGGCTTTGAAGCCACGTATGGGAAGGAGGTACAACTAGACGTCCTTGAAGATGATTTTTCTTTCTCAAAGGTGCTCTTTTTAGACTAACCTTGGGAGAGGAGGGCATGAGAAGGGGATAAAAGGGAGTGGAAAGGGAAGAGAGAAAGGGAGAAAAACTAATATTTCATTACTTTAAAAACATGCTTTATAGGCACATATCTATACATTACTCCATTTATTTCTGATAAATTATTATTACATGGGGGTAAGGGGAATCTCCCCTTTTTAGAGATAAAGAGGCTCACAAGTTGTCCAGGTCACATAGATAAGAGGCAGAGGAACTGGAATCCAACTCTGCTCTAAAGCCATCCTTTCTGTTAACCACCAGGCGTTTCTCTACTGTACTACACCCATAAATGAAAAACAAGTCTTAGTGGATTCATGGACCTGAGGTGGTGTTTGTCTAACCATCCCTTGAATACCTGTTTGGAGCTTGGGAGTAGCGCAATCTGGACCACATTTCCAAGAGGGCAGGTCTGATTTGGCTCTTTCTTCTTTGTTTCAGAAGAAAGACCACAAGGAGAAAGAAGGCACAGGAGGAGTGAATGCTGCCTACCAGACTGGCAGGCTATTTATAATGCCCCTAGAGCATGTTTGTTAATAGAAAACAGAGAAAAATGTATGATAAACAGAAACATGCAAACCCAAAATGTTCATGTAAATCAATGATTACAAAGATGAATCAACTCGGTAGCCTAGATTCCTTAGCTGTCAAAATCTAAAGATAAAGAAACCTAAAAAAAAAAAACCACACATATAGCAAAGCTATACACTAATATCCATCACATTCACAGATCCACAGGCTAACATTTTCTATACTGATGGCCCCTTCTTAGTTGATGATTTTTCACAATGTATTTCATGGCTTCCATCCCTACATGAGACTTTATTACTATCACATAGGAATAAAAAGCCATAAAGCACTAGAGTGAATTTATCTCGGTCGGATGAAAAACTTATTTTCTTCACATGACTTCACAACCATTTCAAAGCTAACCAATCATTTCATGCTACATTAAGAAACATTTTAAACTACACATAAGTGACAGGAAGCACACTTAAATAGTGACATCACAAATTAACAAGATTTTATCCTCCAACGACATTCTTAGCTACAAGGACCAGAAAACAAGACTAGGAGGCACTCAGCAACACTCAACCATCGAATTCACCAGAAACAATGGACACTGGGGAGAATTCCTGGAGAAAAGCTTATCACTTTGACATTGGACTTGGAAACACATGAGGAAAGACAGAAGACAGACAAATCACTCTGATACAAGCTGAAATCAGGGGAATTCTTGCAAGCCACTTCAACTTCTTCCCCAGGATATTTTCTTACAAGCCCATAGACTTTTCACATTGGAGCAGGGAGGTGAGGTGGGATGTTGGAGCCTGCTTGCACTAAGCCTTCTACACTTAATAACAAAAGAAAGAAAGAAAGTGGGGGAGGGGCACAAAGCCTGCAGTTTGCTAGGGGACCACAGGTGCTAGCCACTCCTGTGCATCCATCTGATCCTTGAGCCTGACACCAGGTTCCACCCCATGTATAGAAGCAATATCTACGATACCCGAAATGATAAAAATGCACACAGACTGACTCAGGGATCTAAGGTCTAGAGCCCAGGCACATTATTGATGCTGAATTAAAGGGGCATTATTTCTGGAATTAATCAAATACTTGAGAGTGGCCACATGGAAAGCCAGTTTTCTAGGACCACTACAAACTCAATGCCATACGTTCTCATGAATTTTCGAACCTTCCAAATATAAACTTTGAGTGCTTATTTACTGACTTCAGAACAGCATACCAAACACGACCCTCTTTTTTGAAAAAAAAGAGAAAAAAAAGGAAAGAAACGACTGTGTTTTTTTTTTTAATTGAAATTAAGAAATCATGAACTTGAGTTTCTCAAGAAGAAGGTCCTGCAAGCTATATCCACCTAGCAGGTCCTTTAATGAAATCTTTGTCTAGGTGATTCACGGGGAGGAGACTGGAAATAGTTAAGTGAAAGGAAGTGCATACATAAATTCAATTATCATGCATGAAACATGCAAATGATTTGAGCACTGCATCTGAAACTCTAGTTTATATTCATTAATCTCAGGTTGCACTTTTGTAGGAGAAAGACATGCTTAATTGGGTCCAGATTAATGCACTCCCAAACCTCTCCAATTTGTTTTTAGGCGAGGGTTAAATGATATGTATTAAAATAAACACAGCTGCTCATCTGCCTCCACCTTCCACCTCCCCACTTCACCTCTACTCCAGCTGCCTCACCTCCTCCACCAAGCCCCCTCCAGCTGCCTCACCTCCTTCACCACACCTCTCCATCCTTTCCAGAAGGAAGTGCCCTCATTTGAATATACTTAGAAAGAATAGCCATGTCTCTTAGGTCTCTTAATCCTTTCCCATTTCTCAGGAGTCACTGAATTCCCCAAAGTGAAAGAACTGCTTGCGTATCAACTCCTGATAATGCCAACCAAGGCAGAATATGCACAAATGAGCCAGCAGCCTAGTGTGTCTGTGGACAGTGAGTTCTTTCTACAAGACCAGGCTGTGCCCTTTGACCAGTGAGTATGGAAGGGGTGTTTCAAAGTGTCCTGGCAGAGGCTTGCTTGAAGCCAAAGTTGCTGCAGGTTGGCATGGTGATCCTGTAATTCAGTTATGTGGGAAACTAGAGAACCAAGGGAACACTTGAGATATTTTTGCTGCTATTCTTCCTCTGGAGTTCTCCCAGCCAGCAGAAACTAACATAAAGCAGGGAGTATTCAAATGGTAAAAAAAAAAAAGGGGGGGGAAATTACTTGCCTCCTACCTCCTTGCTGGCCAGATTATTCCTAATAAAGATCATGATTCGGCTTACTGCTTGGGAGGTTGGTTTGAAACATTAGTTTGGGGTCAAAGAAATAATATGTTTTAGTGAGACTCTTACCATGTGAATAATGAAAAAGCACCAATTTAAACTAGTAAAATATTCTTTTCTTGGTTTCTGGGGCATGATCTTTAGAAAAATGAAACAAAGAACCATGGGCTATTAGGAATAGATTCAATCACAGAGGCAGCAAGGAGGGGAAGGAGTTAAACAAGGAACAACAACAACAAAAAGCCTTCAAACTAATTTCACACTAAAAGTGATGTTTAATTTGAATCGTATTCTTTCCATAGGGAAAAGGTTAGTCTCATCACTGAGCGTGGAGCCTCCTCCCCCTTCTCCTTTCATAGGATTGAAAATTCAGATTGACCATTAATCATGATGTGACACATTCTTTTTTTCCTGGTCCAAAACCCAAATGAAAGCCTTGGACCACATCTGAGAGTCCATTGGCTAACAGGCCTCCCACCTATGTGCACAACAGAGAGAAGACGAGAACATGGCCACATATGTACACAAAGACAAAAATTGCTGGACACACACTCACAGCAATGCACACAGATGCAGACAGCCATTAGGAGTCATTGGCTCAGAGAGTCTTTCCACCTAAATTCATTTTTGCATATTTGCAAATGTAAAATTAGTCACAGTAAATAACAACAAAGACCAGACTAATATTAAATCTGTCAACATCGTGACAAATGCCCAGAGCACTCTTTAGTTACAAAATATATTTAGGATAGTCATCGCTCCTAAAAGAGAAATGATTATACGCTAACCAAACCCTAAGTACAAGCTAAAGATATTCACCTCATGAAGTCATTCCTCAACTAGACCCTTGGCACTTGCTGGAATTATTCTCAGCACGAGCTCCACTTTCTCATTTTCTGCTGACTCCATGTGGGTAATTTCTTTCCGTGATTAAAACTGAGCTTGGCAGATCCTTCAAAGCCTGGTTTTAGGGGTGATGGGGTTCCAAGCACAGCCTTTGTCTAAGGCAGGATGTTAAGAATTCATCAGTGGACGGAGTAGGGGGAATATACCTAAAAGGATATTTTTAAAGGCAAACTTTATAGATATCTTTATATAAACATATTTTCTCACTAAAACATGAAGCTGACAGAAGAAATAAACTGTTTACCTTGGAAAAGAATAGGCAGGCTTTTCTCTTCCAAATAATCACTCCGGCCTTTCTGAATGTCATCCCAAAGCGATTCTGCCTCCCCGGACTTATCCAGCATCTGAGGCTTTGAGATAACCCTGGTCGCACTGGCCTCCTTCCCCGGCCCTTCATTATTAGCCTCCTGGTGGGTGAGATAGAATACAGTGAATGTAATAACCCTACTTCACACAACAGGCTCGCTCTCTCTTTTAAATTGAAAATCCCCTTATTACAAAACAAGGGGTGTTCTTTTTCTTCTACCTTTAAGTAGGACTGCCACATTCATTGCTTTTTACAAAAACGCAGCTGCTTTTTAAGCTACAGATAAATAGAATCTGCTAGGCGGTAATTCGACTCAGTCTGAATGCATTATTTTCTGAGACACTTTGGTGAGGGGCTTTTTATTATAAACTGGAATGAACAAGGAAAGTCCTTTTCTCTTCTAATTATGAATGTGCTTTGTTCCCTGCTATTAACCTACAATGTCAGATTGATCTTCTTCTTCTTCTTCTTCTTTTTTTTTGTAACCAGTTCAATAAATCAACATTTTTTCCTGGAAAATTAGAGGACTGATGATTAAGTCTTCATGAACTCCAGTGACAAAAATAAAAATAGCATTAGGGAGAAGCTAATGCAAATGTTGTAACCATAAATATAGAATACAGAGTGGACTTCTCATGTCCAAGATAACAAACCCAATCCCGTATTTACATGGAAAGTTAAGATAAAGGCAATTCACTGGTTCCTTTCATTAACTTAATTTGAATAAAGTTAAGAATTTCCAGCCATTTTCTTAAAGTTGATCTTATTACATTAATTTACCTACTTGAAAAAAGATAAATCATTTTGATAGAAGGTCCCAACCTCTATGTTCATTGTGTTCACATTGAAATTGTATAATATCTAGTATTTTTTTTATTAGTCATTGCCCCACTTCCCAAAGTATGGCAATGAAGAGTGATAATAGAAGAGGGCCTATAGCAACTAATCATGTTCAATTTGGATTTCTGCTGACATCACTTTAACTTCAAAGATAAACACAAAAAAATAAAACGGTGAATCTCTAATAATATCAGAAGACAGTGCGGAAACTCCATTAGCCCAAGTGTTGGTTTAATTTTGATCCCAGTGCTGATATTTCTAACTATGATAATACGAGAGACTATAGTGGCTATGCTCTATGTCTATATGGATATATTGCCTTGCCAAGGAAGGAAATCCCACAAGGTATCAGCGGGGTTCCAATTAAGGAAAAAAAATACTGCTGCAATCCTGACAATATGGAGAGATTGCCAGTATATCTCAGAAGCACAGGCAGGTGCCCACCACTAAATCTACAGATTTAAAGCTGATGCTGTCATTTCCCTTGCTTTCACAGTCACGGAAAGCAAAGTATTAAAGATAAACTGAATAGAGCTGATAGTTCTAGGACAACTGATTTTTTTCCCATTTGTTTGCATTATTTGGAGTTTCTTTCCAGTGAGGGCAATAGAGGGTAGCAAATGGGTTTTGTGCAAAATATAAAGCTTCTGTGGATTCACCTGCATATTTAAGAGGCAAGACCCATAGGGTGTGTGTGTGTGTGTGTGTGTGTGTGTGTGTGTGTGTGTGTGTGTAAGAGAAAGAGAGAAAAAGAATTGAAATCATATTTCTATCTAAAGCTGTCTTTATTTTGTTGTTCTGTTGAAATTTCTAAAATGGAGATATTTATCACATGTGAGATTTTCAGAACAGCCGCTCTAGGAACTGATATATTTGCAGTGAACAAGGGTGACAGAGCTTTTGAGATACTACTATTCTGCTTAGATTTGAATCAATTTTCTGTCTTCTGATATGACTGGGAACAAATTAGGACCCATCAGGTTGCTGGCCTCAGTCTCAGAGACTAAGTGATGCTGTGGCAACATCAGAAGCCCAGTTTATCAAGAATAAATAACCAAGCCCCTTCAGTGAGAAACAAATTGAAGTATATGAGGCATTGCTATAAGAGTGAAATTGAATCCTTATGCATCAATATGTCCATTGAGTTCAGGCCACAACCACAGAGCTTTGGCAGTGGAGAATTTTTATTTTTGTAATACTGATGTGTGAAACAAATGAGAGGAAAAATACTTTAGTTGTGTATTTAAAGAGAAACTTAATTTCCTACATATACAGATTTTAAGGGGTTGGAGTGATAGCACAGCAAGTAAGGCTTGCCTTGCACGCGGCCCACGCGGCCAACCCAAGTTCGATTACTCCGCCCCTCTCAGAGAGCCCAGCAAGCTATCGAGAGTATCTCACCTGAAGGGCAGTCTGGCAAGCTACCTGTGACATATTTGATGTGCCAAACCCAGTAACAATAAGTCTCACGATGGAGACGTTACTGGGACCACTCGAACAAATCGGTGAACAACGGGAGGACAGAGCTACAGTGCTAAAGATTTTAAAATGCCATTTTTATAGCAATCAGCTTTTCTGATTTACTTCTGATTTACAGAATTACCTTGAACATTTGCTTACTTAAATCCGATCTTTGACCCTGGTAATTCTGTAACACAGACAAAAGATAGATTAGACAGAGATGAATGTGAGCTTGTGAGGGCAGCATATAATCACCATCTTCTCTCGCCTGTGTTATTATTTTAACGGAATAAAAATGACCTTATGACCAGCCAGAACTCTTGGCCATTATTACTTTCAAAATAACTAAATAAGGAACTCTACTGAAAGAAACTCTATTATGAGGGAAAAAGAATCATTGTTCCACTCAAGAAGACGCAGGAAGACAGAGCTTTAACTGTTTGGCCTCATTATTCTTTCTCAGAGAAAACAAAAAGGACAAAGAGAAGCAAAATAAAAAGAAAAGAAAAAAGGAAAGAAGGATATGGAGAAAGAAGTGGGGACCATTGCAAAAACCTTCAGAACAACAAATGAGTTATTTTCTTCCTTGCCACATAAAACTAATTCTCCTCAATACCCCTGCCACTCAGACACCCAGTAATAACCCCTGGCAGCCTCACTGCTGCCTGGCCAGTGAGGACAGTTGAGCCTATTTTACAGGGCCCAGTAAAGATCAAGTGTTTTCCATGAGTTCTCTAGGATACATCCCCATAAATAACAGTTACCCAATAAGGAACTACTTTCAATAATCATAGCAACACTAACTAGGTTTTTTCTCCCCTTTGTGCCTCTCTACCCAGCCATCCCTGATGAGATCCCCAACCAGCCTCCCGGCTCTAAGAATAACCATCAAATCAAAATAACCCATTATAAATGAACTATGGCTCTGCCTCATTCCTTTATTCCTCCAGACTCAAATCACTTTACACTTGCAATGGGGAAAGAACTAAACATTGTAATTTTATCTACAGGTCCTTAGAGATAGGGAAGATGACATATCTAGGAAATAGGCAAGAGTGGGCACTAAGTACATAGTAACTAGTGCAGTTGGTAAACTACTCCATGTTCTGAAAGGGTTCCTAGGAATAGCCAAGTTTCCAGTTCCCAAAGAGTTGGCATCCTCAGGTGGATGCAAATCTATTTGCCTAGGGAGTTGTCTCATTCTATTTCCAGATTCGAATTAAAATATCCATGCCTCCCTAGCTATACACATGTCTTCGGATAAACATACACTTGCACTTATTAATTTATCAAGTGTACTGCAAGTCCATGAAAGAAACCTGCCCTGGTTACCTCACCTGAAAGTGTTTCCTGATTGTTAAAAACACTACATAGCATTGCAGATATCGTAAAGCTGATTTTCTAAGACTGTCAAAATACTTCATCACTACTAAACAAGATAACAAATTAGCAGGGATTAAGGAGATGATATCAGGATTGTGGCTTTATTGTCAATATGGAAACCTTTCAAATATAAGGGCCTAGGAAACAGTATACATATATACCAGTAAGGCATTTGTCTTGCACACAGTTGACCTGCGTTCGATCCCCACCCATATGGTCTACAAACTCCTACCAGGAGTAATTTGTGAACACAAAGCCAGGAATAAGTCCTGGGAACTGTTGGCTCCCATCGCCCAATTTCAAATACAAAGTAAAGTTTCAAAGAACAATCATATTTTCTCTTGTTTCATCCCCACCTTTGTCCCCTTTGTGGTGTCAAGGATCAAGTCTAGGACATCTGGCCTGTGCACACCAATTGTTCTATTGCTGAGCTAACTCTGGTTCAATGTTTCCTTTTAACTTTGACCCAAACCATTACTTTTCAGTAGAAGAGATCTTATTTATGAAAATGAATTCTAACATATGCACAATCGATCTATTTTAACAATACATATGTAGCTGTGAATTTAAAATATTTGCCTTTCACCTCCTTACCCCAAACATATCTTATTTATAGAGTTATTTAAAATGATCTCTTTGGGGGGCCACACCCAAGCAGCACATAGGGCATACTCCTGCTCTGTGTTCAGGACTCAATCCTGGAAAAGCATAGGAGACCATATGCGGTACCAAGAATCAAACCTGCATCAGTCACATGCAAAGCAAATGCCTTACCTGCTGTTCTATCTCTCCAGCCCCATAAAATAATCGTATTTCATAAAGTCAAATTTCTTATGGTGATCTAACTCATTTTTTATTTTACAAACAAGGGCAGACTTTTATAAGGGCAACTTCAAAAAGATTTCCTCCTTCTGATGGCTGTTTGCCCATGAACAGAGGGACTGCAAAAAGAGTCTTCCAAGCTCCACTGACCCCAGGAACTTGCAGCCAAGATTCTAATCACCTCTGTGGAAGGGAGAACAAAGGTGATAAAATTCAAAGGCAGAGAATGTGCTGAATTTGGTATGTCTTACAAACAAGAACACAAGGCTATCTCCCCAGAATCACATTCAGTGTGGACATGCTCTAAATATGAAAAGTAAAAACAAGCTTTTTAACGCCTTGTCAAGGCTTCCTGACATTCAACACTTTCCTGAGGTCAAGAAATGTGTCCTGAGCTTCTGTTTTTGGTTCTCCTTCAAGGAGCACAGCAACGAAAGGGCCGCCAGCTGTCTTTTAGCACATCACACTTGGATGACTCCTCTCCTCACTGGGAGAGTGTGTCCAGTGCATTTGGACTCACAGAAGAAAAATCAGAATTATTTCAACACAAAAGAAATTCATATTACTTTTTTTTGCCTCTTTAGTATTCTATAGACTCTCTGTGACAAACTTAAGCTGAAAAGTTTTATGTAATGAAGATTAATAAGGCATAGATTATATGGGTAAAAGTGGAAATTTAAGAGCTAGATGAAATCTAAGAGCTAATTAAATTCAACTAGGACTTCTCCAATGAAAACAAGTCCACTAATCTTCCATGTTAAAAATTTGCTTTTGAATTGCAATAAGTGGAGGAGTTGTCATGTTTTTTGAGTCCTGTGTGTGTATGTGTGTGTGTGTGTGTGTGTGTGTGCAGAAAAAGATTAGATCCATGGATTTCTGTGCTAAATAGGGACCAGAGCCAAGATACAAACAATAGATAAGTTAGAGATTCAGAGGAACTAAATTTGAAGCCAGCCAGTAAAACGGATTGAACCTTATTACCTCTAGTCACTGAGAAATTCCCGAGACAGTTGGATGCAATTTGAAAAGGTCAGAAAAATATTTCCTGCACAGCATTACTGCTTCATGGTTTAAGGGTGTACATTTGTGAGATGCCTGCTCTAATCATTTTTATTGACTTTGCTTTCCAGAGACAGACAGACAGTCTGGGAGGGAAGACCAATAGATAAGAGAAAGGCAGTGTTATAAATGAAAAGCTGTTCTATTTTGTTCTCTCACTTGTGACTGTGAACAATTCCAAATATTGCTCATTTGAAGAGCATTTACATGAACTTCATTGAAGAATGACAGAAAGAAAACAAAATCAAGGAAGCTATAATTCTAATAAGATCAGTTTCTTTTAATTGCTGCTTATTTCATCTCCGCTATAACTATACATTGTGAAAGGTAAACAATGCTGCTCTTTAATCCAAGAATGAATATTCAAAATCAAACATCATAGAATACACCATGGTGGTAAAGATATTCATATTTTGTCAGCATTTCTTTTGATGGAGAGTTTCCTTATAAAGGAAAATCCCTAGGAAAGGAAAAATAATTTTAAAAAGTATTTATTGTATTGATAGTTTTAATGCAAATACTGCTTTTAATAAAGTTTCATTGTGATTGGAGCCATTCCAGATACCAAGGAAAAACATTTCTCTTTACAGTAAATATGATTTGTAGGCAATAAGGACCTTTGTTAGCAAATATATTGCATGGTCTTTTGGAGGCATGCAATTAGAAGTCAAAGTCCTGACTTTTCAATACAGAATGGCACAATCTATTCTAGCCCTTCAAAGGTTTAATTAACTTCTGACTTTCATGTCTGTGAGGAGCCATGTGCTTTGGAGGCAAACACAAGCTTATTTATTCTTGGCTTTTTTAGTAGCAAGGCTGAAACTTTTTAATGGCCTAGACACCGGGTGCTTTCATTTTATGTTTTGACTCTGTGAAGAGAGCTGTAGGTCTCTAGGACCTTTCAACTAGTAAGAAGGCTTTTCTTATCAAATGCTTTCATTTGGATCCATTCCACCCCTCACAGGATTTAGGTAGATCCAAGTGTACCTTCTAATCAGTATGGCAACCACAATCTGTATTCTAGGAAGAAATCACAAACTGGCTTTTCCTAATATCAGTGTCCAAAAGACAAGAAAAATAGCCAGTTCGTTAACTACATTATCTCAGTGCTTTTCTAGGGGCACACAACTCTCCAAATTCTTTTTTTTTATTAGTGAAACACCATGAGATTCAGTTGTAGACTTACGAACTTTCATGCTTAGGTTTCAGTTATACAATGATTGAGTACCCATCCATCCACCAGTGCTCATTCTCCACCATCAATGATCCCAGTAGCTCTCCCACATCCCACCCCATCCCCCCACCCCGCCCCACCTTGTCTCTTTGGCAGGGCATTCCACATAACTCTCAAATTCTAATCAAATTATATATTTTTCTAAATATTTGACATGATTTAGACAAAAGCAATACTATTTGATGCATTTAAGAATTGCTTTCACCTCATTTAGTCGCAAATCAAGATTTTAATAGAAACCTTCTATTTTATTCGAAGTGGTATTAGAAGCCTTAGGAAATCACACTCAAAGCTCAAGCTTTACATATGTTTATTTAATAGGTGTTCTCTTACTGGCAAAGTATCTATGATATGTTCATCTTCAAGTCTCTGTTACCTAAGTTCTCCAGAAGAAAAGGTCTGAATTTTTCACACAACCATTAGCATCATTAATAATGGTAAATAGTATTCCTGAAAGTATTATTACTAGTGAAATAACAATGATGGAAGCAGTTAAGCTTTTTTCTGTGTGCAGACATCAAGTAAATACATTATTTCATTTAATTCTCACAGCCATCTCCCAGGAAATGTGATCCAAACCTACGCATCACCTTACTCATGATGAGAACAAAGCTCAGAGAAGTCAAGAAAGTCACACAAGTTTTAAGAACAATACTATTAAATATTGGTATGGGACTTAGATTCAGCTTACCTGATTCTAATCCCCCTATTCCAAAGCCTTGTGCGTAATTAACCATGCTCCATGAGCATTATAGGACCAGGGACTGTACACTTCTCTGCTCAAAAACGTTTCTGGGGTTGTGTTGAACAAATGTCATGCCCGATAAACATGTTAAAAAAAAAACCTCACAAACTGTAGCTACCAACTAGAGTTATGGATAAAAGGTAGTTGATAGATTATCTTTCCAATTATTGTGGTATCTAGTCTGTGAAGAAAATAATACTCACACAGTGGCTTCCTTAGTGGGATTGCAGTTTCTCTACACCTACTAAATTTTGTAGCTTAATTGCATACAAATTGCTTTTCTATTTGAATTATGTTCAGAGGAGAGCAAGATGGAACAGTTTCTTAACTGAAGCAGCATTAAGAAGGAATGTGTTGGTTCAATGAATCCTCCCAACACAACCTTAAAAGGAAAATCATGTATCTCTCTTGTTATTATTAAATGCAAATAGGTAAAATGAAAAGAAAATAATGATGATTTGGAGAAGTTTAGTACATGAATACTGCTGCAGGGTTTTGGGGTTTGTCATTGTTGTTCAATAGAATGTACAAAACATAGGCAAGTTTCAATGAAATGTTATTTTACCTTCAATGAACAATATTTTTTTAAGCATTTTACCAAACGTATATCCAGAAAGCTTAGGGCCATAAGTATTGAAATATTGGTTGGCAATCACAGCACATATGGTCTAGGCACTTGTCTTTGCCTGTCATATCAGGCTCACTCAGCTTCCTGTCTAGAAGGGCGCGTGTCTACTTTACTTGCCAGACCTCCTATTAGGAGGCATCGTCTTCCAGTGAAAAAGAACGCTTTCTCCCAGAGAAAAGTGTGTGGCTACTAGAGAGGGCAGTAAAGGGAGCCAAAAGCAGACAGAATAGCCTCTGAGCAGCATTATTGACAGAATGAAGTCACAGTTCAAGTTTAAAAGGTAAAGCATCTAAAAAATTAGAAACTAAATTAGATACTGCTGGGAAAGGTGGAGAGAAGAATAAAGATGCTATTGGCATGCAAAATGATCCTAAATCTGAATGTGGAACCTCAGAATATCTGATCCCTTGCTTTTCTTAAACACAGAGCAGGAAAGACAATAATACAATCCTGAAGTACTTGAGAGCAAAGGTGCTCAATTCACAAACCCCAAAGAGTTGCCAAACACTCTACAGTATAATCTCATTTTTAATATCTCATGTTGAGCTATTGGTTCTTTAGCCTTAGCTATTATCAAGAGGAGATGTCTGAATAAATAGTTAAGACAGGTTAATTGAATAATTACTACTATTTTTTAAAAATGACAACCATTTTTCAAAACCAATTGTGACCATTATGAAAACAATCCTTTCTCATAAAACAGTTTAAAAATACATTGACTTTTTTGTTTAAAAATTATGTTAAGGAAAAATGACACACAATCAAAATGTGGTGATTATAGCCATAGAGGCAATTAGCACACTTCTGACTATGTAGAGATTGCAAGAGCATTCCTTCTGTCCTCTGTGGATCAAACATGATCATTTAGTGATTTCTAAGACTCTGATTAGGTTTTTATTTTAATTATTTTTTCAACTTTTCAATGTCACAATGATAAATGCTCTGTGTACCTGGCCATCCTTTTCAAGAGGAGTTTGATAGCATGACAACCTGAATATTATCCCATTCCATTTTCTTTGAATTATGGGAATCTCCAGAGCATATTCATCCCTATGTTGGAAGAGAGCAAGGTTTAATTTTTTCTGAATAATTTCCAAAATCAAATTTGAAAGTTTTCATGAGAGATGATCCTCCCTGGTGGGTGACATAAAGTATAACCTAAGGGGGAAACATGAAAATAATTAGCATAAACATATTAGCATATAGATGCCTTTGAAATAATCAACAGTAGAAAACCAAAACGCTTATCCCCAAAAGAAAGTTATTAGAAAATATGAAATTAGCGTACACTTCTTGCATGACAAGCCCAGCCTGAAAGCCAAAGTATTCGCATTCAGTAAAGGATAGAGTGACCAGAGAAATGGAGACTTAACTCCCAAACCATTCTCTTGCTTGTTGTTACTCTACCAATATTCTTTTGTTTTTTCATTCTGTTATTCCCTTTTTCTTTTAAGCAGAAAACAAACAGGAAAACAGATATTTTCTTTGGCTTTCTTTTAGAATCCTTACCAAGTAGATATACTTAATGTTTTCTTATTTTCTCCCTATTCAGTTACCTTTTCATCTTTTCCTAGATTGTATAAGTAAATTTGATCTTGGTTATTCATCTACAAAAAGGACCAAGGAGCCTCAGATAAGAAGCAAGACAGCATTATTGTTTGATAATTATGGACCCTGAGCACCACTGACTCATTCTGTATTTCAAATTATTCCAACCTCTTAAGGCCATTCACCAGCATGGTGTGGCATGATAGGAAGGACATAGTCTTTGGAATCAACTCTAATTTAAATATCTGATCTCAGGGACTGGAAAGGGAATATAGTGGTTAGGGTTATATTGCAAATTAAACACAGGTTTAATTCCCAGCATCCCATATGGTTGCCTGAGCACCTTCAGGAATTATTCCTAAGTGCGGAGCAAGGAGTGGCCTCTGAGTATTGCCAGTTGAGAGCCCAAACTCAAAAAATAAAAAAATCAACCCAATAATAAAAATATGATCTCAGAGTCAGGCAGATAGTATAAGGGCTAGGGCACATAAATGCATGCAGTATAATCTTGGTTTGATCTCTGACACCATAAGCTCCTCTCTACACACACACCCTGAGCATTGCTGAGTGCAGCCTTAGAGGACCCTGAGCAACACCATGTAGCCCCTCGTGGCTCCTAGCACCACAAAGCCCAAGCAGTGCTGCATGTTCAAGTCTTCACATTGAATCACTGGCCTGGTTGATTAAAATTCTCCAGCAGTGGACCCTGGACCTCTGAGCACTAATAGCAGAGGATGTATGAGTAGGAATAGTAATAGTAGTGGTGGTGGTGGCCGTAACATAGGTGGTAACAGTAGTAGAAATGGAAAATGATACGATATTGGTAACCCTATAAAAGTTCATTAAACACAATTTCAGTTTTCTAAACAACAGTCAGAGCATTGGCTACTTTTCTGGGTTGTTATGAGATAAAAGTTATATATCTAAAATAGCCTGGAATATAGTAGTGCTCAATAAAAAGCTAGTTTAATTCATCTTTCCTCAATGGGCTTAGTGAAAACTGGAATTATTGGATTATGAAATTTAGTAATTAATCCTGCTTTCCCATTTCTTGTTTGTCTAGATAAGTGTATGGACCAGAGGAATTTATTAAGGAAACATGCCACAAAATATGTTTATTTTTTCTGGATCCATGACAGCCTGGGTCTCATGAAGATGACAATACAAATTTCACCAATAGAATAATGTTGAGTAAACAGAGATCCCACAGAAATATTTCATTTCATAAAGCCAAGAGAAGGGATTTCAATCAAACTTTGCAGTGACTAAGGAAGCCCACAACTATTTTATAGAAGGGTTTTCCCATCATACTTTAAATTGTCTGACAATTTCCTTAATTATCAGGTAACCCCCCTGGACAAGCCCAATGTTAGACTGACAAAATGCAGTAAATGCTACTATGTCTGGATACCATTTATCTTAGTTTTTTCCAGTACTCACTTTCCTTATAGCCAATACAACAGCTAGAACATTAACAATGTTATTTGTGTTTAATTATTGCCAATAATATATAACTTGATTTCTTTAACTTATTTTCAACTTTAAGCTTTTGATTAAGGCTAATTATTTGATAAATCTTGCATATTTTGGTCTTTTAATGTAAAAGGAGAAAGAAAATACTCATTATAATTCTAGGGTCCAGGGTATGACTCAGTGGTAGAGAGAGTGTGTGCTGCATGTGTGAAGTTTAATACCTGGCATGACCCCACATTGTCAGACAAGACCTTCAGCACTGCTGGGTATAATCTGAGATACCACAATATCAATAAAAGGATAAAGGCCCTCCCGTTGTTCATCGATTTACTCGAGCGGGCCCAGTAACATCTCCATTGGAGATTTTGTTGTTACTGTGTTTGGCATATCGAATACATCACGGGTGGCTTGCCAGGCTCTGCCGTGCGGGCGAGATACTCTCGGTAGCTTGCCGGGCTCTCCGAGAGAGGCGGAGGAATCGAACTCGGGTCGGCCATGTTGGCTGCGTGCAAGGCAAATGCCCTACAGCTGTGCTATCGCTCCAGCGCAATATCAATTAAAAAAATCAAATTATATAAGGATATGGAAGTAAACTTGATTTCTCCCTTATTTTCTATGGAGCACAGGACAAACTATACTTTAATAATGGTCTTTTTTTTTACCAGTTACATTTCTAGCAACAAAGAAAATGCTCATCAATTTCTCGAATATTTATACTGCTGCTCATACACTTATACTAGTAATAAAGTTTGCAGACAAGAAACTGATATAAAAATTTACATATCTATGTTTTGTGACAATATGCTACCTAGATGAATCTGTGCTAAACGTACTTAAGAAATTCCTGGTTGTTTGGCTGAAAAACAAGTCAAGGTCCTATGTCCATGGCTCCTGTTTAAACTTATCTCCTTGATGATAGACCTGGAAACAGATATAATTTGCAGAATATTCTTGCTGAATACTCTTGAAACCATCATATTTTCATCCTATCAGTCCTAATGGTGGTACAGTTTGTCCTTTCAGGCCAGCTGTAAAAGGAAAATGTTTTGAAAGATACACCCCAGTAGATAAACCTAAACTTAGTGTTTCTTTGGCTTCGGGGATTTGCAGATATTGAGATTGCCTTCTGAGAAACTGCTCCTCCAGCCATGAAGGGAATGGGCCTATTTTACAAAGCAAATGAATACATATGTATACAAAAGGTATTCTCAACGCTTTACCAGTCAGATGGTAAGTAAAACATGTTCTCTGGTGCAATCCAAAAAGGAATTGTTGCTCAACCATTTTTTTCCCTTAAGGACATTTTGACTTCTTACTGGGCCATGTTTTAATGCTAATGGTGTGCAGATGTATTTGTTCTATCATCTTTTTTCAGGCTTTAAAACCATTCAGGGTGAACATCCAGGAATGGGCAAAGTTTTCACTCTACAAATTCTAAACACATTTTTTTCTGTTTTGTTGATATTTTCAAATCATCTCTCCTGAACTTTGTCTTCACTTCATGTGTGTGTGTGTGTGTGTGTGTGTGTGTAGTTTTCTTTTCTTCAGTGACCCAAAACTAGCCAAATGTTTCTGATTAACCAAATGTAAATGAAGAATTAAACTCATCTCTACCTTTTTAAATCTTATTAATCCAGTATTTCTTTGTCTTCTTTTTGTCAAACCCTGAGTCAACCATTTTTCCCAGGCATCCAGGAAAATTCAAGAAGACGAACTCCAGAGCAAAGAGGCACAGAAAAGTAGCTACAAGAGGTGAATAGTTCTTCTTCACATGGTGAAGAGAATGAGAAAGGCCACCATCAGGCAGAGGAGTCCTATGACCACGGAGAGGGAAAGGCCACAGTGGCAAAATCAAAGAACTGCTGTGTCAGAGAAAGTTTCCTGGACTAATCAATGATGAGGCTTCCCATCAAATTTATAATTCCAACGCCAGAGCCCCAGCCTCAGTGAACTTTCTGCTGTGTCGATGTCTCTACAAAAGACATTAGTTTGGAAGCTGCAGCTGGGGTCAAGTGAGATTTGGCAAGATGGGACTGCCAACCTGTGGAGGCTCTCCTCTGTTAGTGTTTCTGGTCTTTCAGCACTGGAGTAGACAGTGATCTATTCAGTAGCTGGGGGGGAGGGGGAGCAGAGATAATGGTGTGTGTGTAAGGGTGGGGGTCGGGGGGAGAATATGCTCCTAACCAAGGAGGAGATGGAAAAAAAATTAATAAAGGTAGATATTTTCAGGGGATGAGAGACTGTGGCAGGAGAGCTGCTGCCAGGGCAAAGAAGACAGAAAAAGTAAAAAAAAAATAAAGTAAAAGTAAAAGTAAAGGCCCTCCCATTGATCATCGATTTGCTCGAGCGGGCCCAGTAACGTCTCCATTGGAGATTTTGTTGTTACTGTGTCTGGCATATCGAATACGTCACGGGGAGCTTGCACAGGCAAGATACTCTCAGTAGCTTGCCGGGCTCTCCGAGAGGGGCGGAGGAATCGAACTCGGGTCGGCCATGTTGGCTGCGTGCAAGGCAAACGCCCTACCGTATTTTTCAAATACTCTCAATGAGTAGCACCATAAATCAATAAAAATAGTTAAACTCATTTACCTCAGAGACAAACCCTTCAGGATGAAGGTGGCAGCTCAATTTGGAAATTTCATGGAAAAAATAATAATAGCTGATAATATCAAGGCACATCTTGTCCAATAAACTTACTTGAGCCTCTTTCTTTCTCCATTTTGCACTTTGCTTGCAATGACTAAGCACTCAGCATTGCACCCATAGATAAATCTTTCCTGTTATCTGGAATGTTATGTCACCTAGTGAACTATCACTAAAATAAGAAAGGAGCATATTCCAATTTCTCTTCCCACCCAATGACACAAACAATCTGTAAACATTCTGCCCTCATCCATCTCCTTTTCAGCTATTAAGCTGCTATATACATATTTATGTGGAGTCACAAGTAACAGTGCAATGTTCCCAAAGAGAACTTACACATCCTTTGAGTTTTTTCTTCACCAAATGCTATACGGAGCAACCAAGAAGTCCTTCAGTAGGTAAATAAACTGAGGTACACTTGGGATATTGTTTAATTTTTTAAAAGTCTATCAAGCTTAAGCAGAGCCTGGCAAGCTCCCTGTGGCGTATTTGAT